ATTGTCAGGTTGATTGGTTCAGGAGCTCCCTAGATTAGATGTGTCTGGGTGGGTCCTGGAGGTGTGGCCATGGGGTCTGGTCTGGTCCCTGCCCTTGCTCTCTGGAGCTACTCCCCTGCTCTGCTTCCTAGCCACCACGAACTGAGCAGTTTACTCTACCATGCCCTTCTGTGATGTTTCTGGCTAGGAACTAACTGATTGTGGACTGAATTTTCTGAAACCCTGAGCCTAATAACCCATTTCCTCTTTTTCAGTTGTGGTGTCAGGTATTAGGTTCCATTAACTGAAAAGCTGACCAGTACAAGAAGTGAGTGTCAGGAAATGCTCCTGTAGTACCACTTTATTTGGCATTTTATGTGTAGAAAGGGCAAACCGTGTTTAATGAGGACTATCTCTCCAAGTCAATTTGTCTATAGAATTAACATTTTATTACGCTATAATATCTTATTAACAGGGAAAAACTAAAGTTGCCTTTAAAAATCTAGGGATGTAGAAGGTTTTATATAGACTTTTTTTCCTGAAGAAATAATGTAACACTCTGTTTGCTGTTACTATAATAAAATATGCCTGATGGTGAGTACCTTATAAAGCACAGGAGTTTATTTAGCTCAGAGTTTTGGAGGCCCAAGAGCATGGTGCCAACATTCATTGGCTTGGTTCTGGAGTGGACCTTGGCAGATGCATCCCAATGGCAGGAGTAATCCTGGGAAACAGGAAGGCAAGGAGCAGTTCTGGGGTCAGGCATGCTGTTTGGGGACACCCCTTTCAGAGAACTAACCATCTTCTTCTGAGAACTGCCTGATCCCTTCTAACCTCTTCTGAGGGCTGCACTCAATGATCTGAGTATTTTGCACTCACCTCCACCTCTTTAAGGTCTTATCCCTTTCCCATTACTATGCTGATGACCAAGCTACTAACTGTCAATCATCAGGGGACACATTCATACTACAGCAAATATCTACAAGTTAACCAACAAAAATGTGCCTGCCTTTTTTCATGTGCCCCGGAAAGGCCTACAGAGCTCTGTGCTGCCCATTCCCTTGTTTTCAATTTCCTTCTTAATGCATCTCCTGGCCCTTTTACCTTATGCTATTCTCCAGAAAGACCAGACTTGTTGAAATCCTCTACTGGTAGCCTGTCCTCGCCTCAAGACTGTTACACAAGCTTTACCCTGCCCACACCACTCACAAGATCATTGTGCGAAGATTAGTTCCTTCATAGGGCAGTGTCCTTCAAACACTGCCTTAATCCTTCTGACTGCCCTAATGGTGCGTCCACTCTCACCATCACCCTGCTGAGTCACTCAAACACTGCAAACTACTTGAGGGGATATGATGATAAATTTATACTTATTTGTGTCCTCAGTAGAATGTAAGGCTCTAGGCTGGGGTGCAGCTCAATGATAGGCCCTGAATTCAGTCCCTAGCACCAAAGAAAACAAAAGAAAAGTTAAAATGTAGAGCTCCAAAAGAGGGGATTCATGTCTTGTTCTGTTTCCCAGCAAATAGCTTAGGAAGTAATCAGTAAAAAATGTGTTAAATCATTGATGAGATAAATTCCCTTTTATCTTGAGGGTGTATGCACATGCCACCTCTGTAACTTCCCAAGGTGAGCTAGTCCCTCTTATGGGTCTGTTGTACATACTGCTATCATTGTACAATATGCAGCAGACTCCGTGGAGCCTGAGAGGTCCAGCTCTACTCCAATTAGCAGCTCTGTGACATTAGGGATTCTTTAGTATTACCATCCATGCTGCCATCATTCCTAAGACAAAATAGGCATTCTTTCCATTTTTTGTAGGTATGCATCTCAGTTACATTTCTCTGTTTGCTGGGACAAAATACCTGACACCAAAAATTAAGGAAGGAAAGGTTTATTTAGCTCACAGTTTGTGGAGGTTTCAGTCCATAATCAGCTGTCTCAAAGGCACAGTGGCATATGGCAGAAGGCAGCGGCTAAAGGGAGGAACAGCTGCTGAGGCAGCCAGCAAGTCTCTCTCCCTTCCTTATATTGTATTCAGGCTATCTGCCCCAGGGCAGGTGTAGCACTCACACCCATAATCCCAGCACTGGATCATGAATTAATCACAAACCCTAGAAGCCTGCTGGCGCCAACAACTACATGAGGCTTTGGGGGGACAGCTAGACCCAAACCATAACAGCATGTTTTCTCAGATTCACTTATCCAGAAGATATATCTTACTGAGTGCCTGGCACTGCCCACAGTAGTAACAGTGTTGGCACTGTGACTGCTTTCCACATTGAAGCCATAGGTTCTTCCTTTTTGTTGTTTGAATTCAGACCTCGATAAACATATATGAGTCGTCATAACAGAAAAAGGAAGGATGGTTGGGTCAAGCAAATAAGATCCTTTTTAATAAGGAGGACCATTTATGCCTCAGTATCCTTTTTCAGTGTGCAGCCCTTCACATTGTCGAAAATCATGGTTATATGCTTTATTACCCTCTACATCTCCTAAGTTGACACTGGGTAAAGCACAGGAAAAAAAGCCAGGCATCGTGATGTATACCTATGATTCCAGTACTGGGAGGCTAAGGCAGGAGAATCACTGCAGGTTCGAGGCCAGCCTTGGCAAGATAGTAAGTTTAAGGTCAGCCTAAACTGCATAGCAAGACCCTGCCTCAAAAAAAAAAAAAAAAAAAGGAAGAAAGAAAAGGGAAAAAATTAAATGAAGAGGGAAGGGAAGGCTGCATGGAGACATTCTTGTGAGAGAGAAGACATGCTGAGAAATGTCCGGGGAAACTTAGTTTCACTGAGCTGAGGTGAAGAAGGCAGAGAAGTGTCTGGAGGTCCAGGTGGGAGCTAGACCTCTACAGGCTTGTAATTGCTGTCCAGGAACATGGGTGTCTTCTAAGAGCAATGGACTCAGGTAGGGAAGTAACATCAGATTTACAAGGTACAAAAGATCCTTCTGGCTGTGGTTGGACAACATAGATACCTGGCAAAGCACAAAAGAAACTTTTGGAATTGATTAAGAAATGATGGTAACTTTAAATAGCTTTCTATAGTTGGAGAGAAGTAGACCAAGTCTAGAAATAAATTTATGATTGAAAGTAAGAGGCTGGGGATAAAGCTCAGCAGCACAATACCTGCCTGGCAAGTGCGAGGTCCTGAGTTTGATTCCCTGTACCAACAACAAAAAAATAAAGAAAGTCAACAAGATATGGTGACATGCTAGTTAAATGGAGGAGGAAGGAGAGAGGGATGACCCAGATGATTCTTAGTGTTCTCTCCTGCTGGGTTGTCATAACTTTCCCTGGGATGCCCAACACTGGCAAGAGACTCTGAAGAGGGAAAGTACAAGTCTGGTTTGGGCCTTACTGAATTTGGGGCACCTTTGAGAGGTCAAAGAAGAAAGATTGGTAAGAGTTGCTAAAGAGGTTTGAAAGGTAAAAATGTGTGAGTCACAAGGTATAGGTGATTTTTAAGCCCTGGTTGCAGATAGACTGTGCAAGGTGAGTGTGGAGTGAGAAAAGACCTTGAGAATCAAGCATGAGAAGCCCAACAGTCAGTGGGACAGGTTAATGAATGATGACAGAAAAAGTCACTGGAAAGAGAGGAGAGGAGAGCAGGGTGGATGGAAGAGCTTTGTGGAGACCCACTTTGCCAGAGTGAGTGATGACTATGAATGCCCGAGAGAGAACTTTCTAGTACAAATGGTCCACATGTGGAGGCCTGGAGTGTGAGAGTGTATGTCTCATCTAGAGATTACAGTTTGTTTGATTTACAACATAGGTTGCCTATGGGAAGTGACCAGACATTAATCTTAGAAACAGGTAGGCACTAGTGCGTGAAACACTTGAGTGCTGTACCCAGGGAACCTATGTATTTGTACTTTACTGATACCAATGCTTTGCAGCTCACCTATGGAAATCTTCTTCTTCTTTTTTTTTTTTTTTTTTTTTTTTTTTTTGGTGGAACCGGGGATTGAACTCAGACACTTGGGCTTGCAAGGCAAGCGCTTATTCTACTGAGCCATCTCCCCGGCCCCGGAAATATTCTTAATGGTAGAAGACAGTAAATCTTTCTGGACTTTCTCTGAAAATACAAACTTTACTTTCAGATTTCTTATTTTAAAAATTCAAATTATTTTGTATTCTAGTCCATAATATATTTATCTTTTTTGTGAAATTGTTTTGGATAATTTTACTCTGGGTTAAAAAAAAAAGCCCAAGAATATGAACCTTGTTGGTTCTGTGACTAGATTAGCCCTTGCCTACCACCATATCTCCCCTCACCGCATACCCATTAGTGTCTGTTGATGAGCAGTGACTTACACCCATCACAGTCAGACTTGAATATGGGAAGAGTACAGTTGGCTCTGTATTCACGTGCTCTGCTTCCATCTATCTTGAGCAGTGCCAATATGTAAGGGGAGAAGAGGGCAGAAGTGAAAAACAGTGCAGAATCTGTGGAAAGGAGAAGGAAGAGATCTGAGAGGAAGACGCAAAAGGGGCTGACAAGAATATTGAGATGGTTCACATGCACAGCACTACAGAAATCATTGTGTGCAAATAGTGCCAAAAGGCATCTGTGGCATTTTCTGAGTCTTAACTAATAGTTATTTTGACAGATTAGAGGGTGAACAATGGACTTAGCTGAATTAAAAGTGACAGCAAGTATGCTTTACCATGCTTTCAAGAAGCTGAGCATAAAGGGAATAGCAGGGAGTAAGTGCAGGCTAGAAAGAGATTCAGGGTCTCTGAGGATAGTCATTGGAAGTACAAGGGATAGAAGCATATTTATATGCTGAGAAAAGCCATTACTGGGGAAGTAATTGAAAATATAAGAGCACAAAGCCTGCCGTGTTACACATAGGAAATATGTCATAAAATTATTTCTTTAATGAATGACTGTTTACTGTGTGATTCTACAGTCTTAGTCTCTTTCACAGGTGGAATTTGTGTTTTATGGGCTACATGTTTTTGTGTATTGATTATGGTGTTATTAATCTTTGGGGATATACCTGTTTTTTTTTAGCCTCAGAATATTCTGCTGACCAGTGAATGTCCATTGGGTGACATTAAGATAGTTGATTTTGGCCTCTCAAGAATAGTGAAGAACAGTGAAGAGCTTCGGGAAATTATGGGTACTCCTGAATATGTTGGTAAGTATTCCGAGGAGCGGATGGTCTGCTATTGGAGATAGGCATCACCTTCACTAAGGAGCGCACATGTGGCCTGCTTCATAGGACCCTGGCTGTCCACCAGAGATTCATCCCTTTAGATTAAATCTAAAAATTGACTTAAGGATGAAAAACTTTGCAGAGCAAGGTACCAAACTGGTGATTGTCTTATTCATGTAAGGCTAAGAAATTTTGCTTTAAAAATTTTATTTGATTTTTAAAATTTTTTTGTTTTGGTGCTGTGTATTTAACCTAGGACTTTGTGCCTGCTAAGCAAGTCTTACCTCCAAGCTACAGATGCAGCCCAAGGGCTAGGAGGATTAGAAGGTATTGCCTCTAAATGAGTAGGAAGCTGAGCGTGTGGTTCAGGGTAGAGTATTTGCCTACTACATACATGCAAGGCTTTGTGTTCCATCCCAGCACTGCAAGAGGTAAACAGAGAAGCAGAAAACAAGGCCTTTGAAAATGGGCCAAAAAAAAAAAAAAAAAGAAAGAAAGAAAGAAAACGGGCCAACTGGTAATAAAGTAATTGCCAATTCTGGGCTTCCAGAGAGTGTGAAGCAGAGCGGGCCTTTGGGACCATGCCAGGTTGAGGTCACTGGCATAAAAAGCAGCTTGAACATAAAAAAGCAGCTGGAATGATGTACCGTGGGTCTAGGTTAGGTAAAGAAGAAGTAAACTATTGCCTGTTTTGATTGACCAGAAGAAAATTGGGATTTTAAGGATTAATAGCTTAACTGATTTAAGCAATTAATGAAGCATAAGCCCATGGAGTGATTTAGAAGTTATGACCAGAGAAATAGCACCTTGTAATTGCAGGCCCTGGACATATGTCTAGAAATAAGTATTAAAGTCCTACAATAAATGTTTAATTAATTAGGGAATAAATTCATGCAAACTAAATTCAACACATTAAAAATAATGCATATACCATAATCAAGTCAGTTTTATTCCAGAGATGCAAGGATCATTCAGTATACTCATAAAAACTTACTAAACATAAAATGTCACATAAATAGAATCAGGGATAAAAAGCCTGTGACCATCTCAATTGAAGAAAGCCTTTAGAGCCAGGCTTGGTGATACATGCCTGTAATCCCAGGGGGCTGAGGCAGGAGAATCTGTGTTAGTTCCTTCAAGTCCAGCCTGGGCTACAAAGTGAGTTCAAGGCCAGCCCAAACTGCATATGGAAGCCTTGCCTCAAAAAGAGAAAAAAATAGGGCCAGCCAAATAGCTCAGAGGATTAAAGCACCTGCTTAGGCAGATGCAGGGGCTGGGAGTTTAGTCTCTGGGCCTGCCTGCTAGCCCTGCCCCTGGGCATGCTAAGACAGAGACTGAGACTGGGCATGGTAGTACACACCTGTAATCCCAGCACTTGGAAGGCTATAAACAGGAGGATCACTACAAGTCTGATCTACGCAGTGAGACCCTGTCCACCCTGTCCTAAGTACCAAAAAAACCAAAACAAAACAAAACAAAAACACGAGATGGAAAGACTCCCCATCTTCCTGGATATACAGAATTAATATTTTCTAAATGGCTATATTACCAAAAGTAATCTACAGAGTTAATATACTATCCATTAAAATACCAACAATATTCTTCACAAAACTAGAAAAAATAATCCTAGAATTCATATATGGAACATCAGATATCCAGAGTAGGCAACACAGTGTTAAGCAAAAAGAGAAAGGCTGGCATAATCCTAATACCTGATTCCAAATTATACACAAAATCAGCATTGTAGTGTCACACAAATAGATGAACAGGCCAGTGGAACAGACTAAAGACACATATAAACCCACACCTCTACAGCCATCAGATTCTGGACAAAGGAACCATAAATACATGTTGGAGAAAAGACAGGCTCTTTGACAGGGAGTACTGAGAAAGGTGCTATCCATATGTAGAAGACTGAAGTTAGAACCTTGTCTCTCACTCTGTACAAATACCAGTGTAGAATGCATCAAAAACTACAGTGTAAGACCTGAAACTCTTAAAAGAAAACATAGAGGAGACTCTTGAAGCCATAGCCACAGGCAAAGACTTCCTGAATAGGATTCCAGTTGCCTGGGAAATAATAGCAAGAATGAACAAAACTGCAGTCACATCAAATGGAAAAGTTCCTGTACGAGGGAGACAACTAATAAGAGTGAAATGACAGCCTGTAGAATGGGAGAAAAAATATTTTATTACCTGTTCCAACAGAGGATTGATAGCTAGGGAAAAAATATATATGTATTATAATAGATACATTTCAGTAAATGTAATTCCCCAAAGTCAGATAGCTCAGCCAATAGGTAGGCAAATAAATTGAACAGACATTTTTCTGTAAAGAAGTATAAATAGCAAGTAAATATATGAAAAAAATGTTCAGCATCTTTAGCTGTTAGGGAAATGTAAATCAAAACTATAGTGAGATTCCATCTTGTCCCAGTAGAATGACTGTCATTCAAAATACAGGAAATACCCTGGAGTGGTGGCTTGGAAGGCTGAGTCAGGAGAGTATCGAGTTTGAACCTAGCACTTCACTAAGGCTCTGCCTCAAAAAATAAATATGGACTAGTGGTGTAACTCAGTTTGAAAGTAACTCAAAATGGTTCAGTTCCCAGTACGACGAATGAAGGAATGCTAATGAGGATGGGATGAGAACAACCTTCTAAACCACTTGTGAGAATGTTGGGCTTGTACAACCCATCTGGAAATCAGTACTAAGGCTCCTTAAAACCTAAAACCAGAGCTACCATTTGATTCAGCTGTGCCACTTCTTGGTCTACGCTGTAGGGATATCTGTATACCCATTTTTACTTTCACAATTACAAGCTATGAGACCAACCTCGGTCCCCACACAAGATGAATGGATAAGGAAAACATGGTATACCTGCACTGTGGAGTAGTATTTAGCCATAGGGAATATTTGTAATTTGTGGGGAAAAGAAGGGAACTAGAAACCATCATGTTGAGCAAAATAAGTCACACTCAGACAGAGATGGCCTGATCTTTCTAACATGTGGAGTTATAAATGATGGAAATAGGAAGGAGGCTATTACTAGGTAGAAGTGTATGAGGAGAGGGAGGCAGTGGGACAAGGGCACGAATAAATTTGTCATAAGTTCTGTAACCCATTATTTTATAAAATGGGCACATATTTTTTAAAGACTACAGGGAGCGAAACAACCTTCAAAGTTTGTTATATATTTTATGGGCTAGGGTACCTAATTTTCACTAGGCTAGTGCACACTTGACCTGTAAGTAAGTTTTAGAAAAGAAAGCAATATAACCCAAATATGTTAGTCAATTTTAATGTACCATCTTATAGGCATGGAGAAATTCTGATTGCTGCAGAATGGAGGGCTATGACCTACAATATCAAAATAGCAATTACTTTGATACTGAGTAAGGTGGGGGACTTGGTTTAAATGTTTTCTGTTTTTTGCTCAATCTAAATTTCCTACCAACATGCCACTCCAAATGGAATGTAATACAAACTTGAATGAAAAAAGAAACAAAAACAAAAAAAGCCCTCCAGAAACAGCCTCTCCCTGCTTGCCTGTTCCTAGGTGACTTTCTGCAGCCCCCAGGTGTTTATGCCTGTGAAATTGCTGTGAGTTCTGGCCCTGCCACCAGCTTGGGTGATATTGGTCCTTGCATCTCTCTAAGTCACATTCCTTTATTAAACAAACAAACAAAAAAAAAAAAAAAATGGAGCCATAGACAGCACCAGCCACATAGGGAGTTGTGAGGGCTCCATTGGATTTGCCATACTCAGCCTGCAGCGCACAGTAAACACTCAAAAGTAAGATGCTAGTATCCCTCCACTCCCTCCCTGCTGTTTGTATGTTACTTTTCCCCCTAAGACAGTTTGGATGCTGTGCATTTCATTTTCAATCCTTAGCTGTTTCCTTTAAAACTTTTAGAATCTGTTTCTCAGCTCATCCACCTCAGAAATTGAGGAAATGAGCAGACCTAACATTTTCTTCTAACCTCTTTTCTCCTTTACATTCAGTGGGAATTTGTCTCAAACCAGTAGTGTATTTATGAGTTTGAATACGTAGGGTTTTTTTCTAATAATCATTATTACTATTACCATGACTTTCTAGTCTTTCATCTTTTATTTGGACCTAGCACTTATTGCCTGCTGTGTCATAGTTGTATACTTTTGCAAATAATCACCTTTGGTTGACTGGATTGTGAGTAGTTTTTACTTCAAGGACGCTTTACATGTTTTTCCTCATTCTTTGTATATACACAAATGTCTCTTGCTTTTTATTAAATACACATATAATGGTACCTTGGTTGTTAAGCTCAGTTTGTTCCCAACTCATATTCATACACTGAAAAATTTTGAGAACTGAACATATTTTTTCCCATAAGGAAATAAAAGAAAACCAAATAACTGGTTATGAGGCTCCAAAATTGCACTGATAAATTCATTTTTCTAGGACCTTAACATAATGCTAACAGCTCTAGGTTGTAGAAATACCCCCTAAGATATCTACAGTAAATACATTAAATATCAAAACTGTACAATGAATAAAGTTTTTTTAATTGTTGTACAGTACTTTTCCCTTGATTTGAAGATTTCCTGGTGTACTGGAAGCTGGAGAGAATTTAGAGGAGGAGAAATGTTAGACTTTGGAAGGAGAGACTCCTCCCATGAAGATGTCGGGTGCTAGACTTTCTTGGGTGTTTTCTCATGATCTTTTTCTCACCAAAAATTTGAGAACAGCACTTAACACTGACGTGTCATCCCTTTATGTCCACAGTGAGACACAATGTGGGACTCACCCTCTGCCCATACAGGGTTTTTCAAGGATGATTTTCAGTCAGACTATGGAGCAAAGTTCTGGACAGTGAATACATTATGTTTGAACTTTGCTGGTCAAATAATGGAAAGCTTGAGGTTGGAGCCCTTCAGCCCTACAGTCAAGGTGTCACTGTATTATCAGAGCATGCTATTTTTCTCAACTCTGTAGATGACCTTTATTGCCTTTGTGGTTCCACTCTTGAGAATACCTAGGGTTTTTTCTTTTTATAAATCTTGTTTTATTTTTATTAGTACATATTTGCCATATATAATGATCACATCCATCATAAGGCATTTATACCTCTACATAATGTCTTAATTCCTTTTCTTGTATTTTTTCCCTCCCTCCCCCTCAGCTTTTCTTCCCCGTCCCATTTACAAAAGCATTAGGATAGCTAGAATGAGTGTACATTTTAAAAGCTCACTGTGGAGCCCAGTGTAGTGGTGCATACCTGTAATCCTAGCATTCAGGAAGCTGAAGCAGGAAGTCCCGAGTTGAAGGCCCAGCATTAACTACAGAGACACCTTGTCTGGGGGGTTGTGTGAATCATAGATCAGAGGGTGAGAGCAGCCACGAAAGGCCTGGTGAAAAAGGGTAGTGCCTTGCCTTAGGCTGGGCTGAGGGATGAAGAGAGATGCATGGAGAAAGATTTGAAAGCTTCTACCTGATAGATGTGGTTGATGGGACAGAAAATAGCAGAGAAAGGTGCCAGATTGTCTTTTTATATTGTAGTTTTTGCATTCAAATCTTTTTTTAGATACTAGGGCTCAACCTGAGGGTGGAAGTATGAAAATTAAGCAGTTAATTATAAACATGTAGTTACAGTTTTCTATTCACCCAGCACTGGGGAGGCTGAGGCATGAAGACTGCCATGAGTTTTAGGCCATCCTGGGGTCACTTAGTTTAAAGGCAGCCTGAACTACATAGTGAGACCTTGTCTCGAAAAAGAGGGGAAAAAAGATTTTTCTGTTCATATTCATTCATGATATTATTTCATTTTGGGTCAGTCCTTGGTAATAGTGGTATGGTTTGTAATACTTTATCATTTATCCCTAAGAGCAAGTTAGTATTCTTTTTTTCTACAAAACTAAATAGTTTTTTTTTTGTTTCTCTACCTAGCTCCTGAAATTCTTAGTTATGATCCTATCAGCATGGCAACAGATATGTGGTAAGTGTTACTTATGAAGAGTGAATGGAAGCAGTTCCCAGAAACGAATTTGGTACTAACTGCCCTTACCCTTTCCTTCTGACCCAGGAGCATTGGTGTGCTAGCATATGTCATGCTTACAGGAGTATCGCCTTTCTTAGGCGATAATAAACAAGAAACGTTCTTGAACATCTCACAGATGAATTTAAGCTATTCTGAGGAAGAATTTGATGGTGTGTCTGAGTCGGCTGTAGACTTCATCAAGGGCCTTTTACTTAAGAAACCTGAGTAAGTTCTAATATTTCTCTTCATCCATGGGTGGGGACCCTGCCCTGAGTTTTACTCCCAGCCAGTTACTGATCTGCTCTGAGCAAAAGTAGTTCAACAACTAAAGCCACAAAGTAAAGACACAAAAGTGTGGGCATGAAACTACGTGAACCTAGTTTTAAAGAAAAACTGCCCAGAACAAATATCCTTAGAAACTGTGACCTGTGCCTAACAGGATTAAATAAGTAAAGTTGTGTAGCTGCAGATGGGTCATGCAGTGAATGGCACCTGTTATGCCTGGGTAGCAGTGATGACAGGGAAATGACAGCGACTCCTCCGCAGGTATTTTCTACCTGTTCTTGGGTTGCTCAAAAGAACCTCTACAAGGTGCCTTACTTACAATACTTTCTCAACATTCTAGGGAAAATACTCAAGTTCCACAAGTCCTGGTTCTACTCAGGAAGCACAACAGGATTTCTGTCAACTCTTTATACTTTCCAAAATATGACACAATAAATATAGGATTTATGTTCTGATCCATTTGAAATTTAATGCTATCACATGTGAATGTCTTTATACAGAGACCGAGCCACTGCTGAGGAGTGTCTCAGACACCCGTGGTTGACCCCGAGCAGTATTCCTAGTCCACACAAAGTGAAGGGAGCAGTGGAAGCAGCAAGCATCTTGCAAGAAGGTGATTCTGGGGCTGACGTTGGCAAAGATGCTGAGAAGCCAGAATCTGAAGGATCGCTTGTGACAGAGGAGTTAATTGTAGTTACTTCGTATACTTTAGGACAATGCAGACAGTCTGAGAAAGAGAAAATGGATCAAAAAGCCATTTCTAAACGATTCAAATTTGAGGAACCACTGCTACAAGAAATTCCAGGAGAATTTATCTACTGAGCTGTTCTCCCGTTAAAACTTTTAAGATTTCTCCATTGGAATGTTAATATTATTTATGGACCTCTGAGGCTGGGTGTGGTGAAAAAACACAATTTTGTCACGCTTTCAGAGTTAAGTGAATCAAACCAGGTTTATACAATTGCCAGGCACCAATTTAACAGGTAAAGCTGTCTGTTTCAGTGTTCTATTTTAAGAAGAAAGCTGTTTGTACCTTTCAACATCCCATTTCTCTAGACTGAGACTTATGTACAAAGATACTTGTATTTACTTTAAAAGGCCAAGTAAAAATGCCACAGTGACACTTCCAGTAGATCTCTTCTGCGTTATTGTGTGAACCTGTACCTGCGTGTATGTATTTACTAAAACAGATCATTGTTTCATTTTGGATTTGTTTGGGAGGATAAGATTTCCATTTATATACCTTTAAATTTTGAAGATGTACAGTATGTAACTACATTAAGTGCATTTGGCTTCTTTATATTGTCTGGTTTTGCCTAATGCTTATAATTTATCAGTTGCTAATTTTTTTTCTCTTCAGTATCACTCAAGTGATTTTTCATCTCTGAAATTGTTTTGGTTCTCTGTCAGCGGGTGATATTAAAACATGTGTCTTTTTCCCTCTTTATACCATCCTCTTCTATCTTCTTTGCCAGGCTGCCACCTCCCTGCTGCCCCCTAACTTGTCCTTCAGTTTTGTTCACTTAGAGGTATCACTGTGATCTGATCAACACTGTGGTTGCTTTGGTCAGTGGAAAGAAGCTTTTTTTTTTTAATATTTGGTACAGGGTCTATACAGCTCAGACTTGTAGTGATCCTCCTGTTTTCAAGCCTCCCAGTGTGGGGATTACAGCCATGTGCCACCACACCCAGACTCAGTGGCTCAGCCTTCCTGAGGCCGGGACTGGTACAGCATGTGGTGCCAGGGATCGAACCCTGGTCCCTGCACTTGCCTAAGGAGGCGGTTAGCCCGCTGAACTATCTCGCTGGCCCAAAGCTATTGTTTTTGTCCTATAGTTAGTGAAACCTAAAGCAAAGGAGGAGGAAATATGAAGTGTAGTCATGGCTTCCAAGCCTATGGTGCCATTTTTGTTATAATCCTTAAGCTACTAAAAAACTGGCACTGGATATTTTATCACTAGACAAGTACCTTATTCCAGAAGGACTTACTTTAGACTAGGAGTATAGCTCAGAATATATTTAATCTGATTTGGATCAGATTGAACCCCACAGTGAATGGTAAATTCCTATTTAAATAGGGGTATGAAAATGAATGCTGTATAACTGAAATCCTCCTCACACACAGTATGCTGAATATGCATTAGTCCAAGTTGTGTGTTATCCGTGCACACACCTGAACCCTTGCCTGTCCTCCAAACTACGGCTTACACAAGGCTCAGACTGGTACCTCTTGAGGTGAAAGTCATGACAGTGACGGCACCTGCCCACAGTTCTAAGCTACCTGCAAGGTGCTATGGTCAGTATTTACAGAGATGTGCCAGTGACTTGCTCCTGTCCAACTGCCATTGCCTGAGGTGGGTGAGGCAGTTCACTCGCACTGCTTTGCCACTAAATTTTGATTTCATTTGTATAGTTTCTTAGAAACAGAATTTCTAAATAAGCTCTGAAAGGGGGAAAAGGAAATTCTGCCTCAGTGGCCATTTTCAGTGAAAACCATGGCCATAAGGTCTCAGGTAAGTCCTAAATGAAGTAAAACCATCTGAGGCAAATTTGTTTAAATGCTCTTTGATAAAAATAGGGGGTAAGTGCACTGAACTAAAATTAAAATGGATCATAGATCTAAATATTAAAACCAATCTGCTGGAAGATAGACTCAGTCATGAAGACAATGATATAGGCAAAGAATTTTATGAATAAAAAACCCTGATCACAGGAACTGTCACAAAATTAACAACTGCGATCTCATCTCATTAAAAAGTTTTTGCACAGTAAAGAAAAACCAAAAGTGAAGAGACAACCCACAGTGTATGAAACTATTTGGACTAATACAATATATACAGAACTCAAAAATTTCAGACTCCCACTAATTTAAAGACCCAGTCCAAGAATGGACATCTGAAGTGAAGACACATCTCAGGTGAAGAAGTAGAAGTAACAAATACATGTAGAGATGTTCAACATCCCCGATCATTTGAGAGACATAAATTAATGCCGAGATGCCATCTCACTCCAGAAAGAAAGGGAATTACCAAGAAATCATCCAGTAAATGTGGGGGAAAAGAAATTTCCACACCACTGGTGGGAGTGTGGACTGATGCAACCTCTGGAAAATCAGCGTGCAGATTCCTCAAACTAAAACTAAGCTATTCCATTTGACCCAGTTATTCCCCTTCTCAGTATCTCAAAAGAATTAAAAACACCATACCACAGCAATATATGTTTATATATACCCATGTTTATAGCGGCAGTGTATGTACTTTTTTTTCTTGAGACAGGGTCTCAATATGTAGTTCAGGTTGACCTTGTACTCATTGTAGCCCACTGTAGCCCAAGCTGGCCTTGAACTTCACTTCTCCTTCCTCAGCCTCAAGTGCTGGGATTATAGGCATGCACCACTATGCCTGGCTGTAGTGGCACACTTTTGTAACAGCAAAATCTTGGAGACGGCCCAAATGTCCATAAACTGATGAATGGATAAAGCCTGTTTTATACAATGAACTACTACTCTGCCATAAAGGATAAGCTTGAGCTATATCTAACTAAATGGATGGATCTTGGGACCACACTCTTAAGTGAAATAAATCAGGCATGTGTGTTTAAATACTGTTCTTTGCCTGGTGTGAGAAACCAAAGGTATAAATAAGGACCAAAAATAGTTACTGGGAAATGAGAAGGAAATGTTCAAATGGGGAGGAGGAAAGGAAAGAAGTGACAAGGAAGAAATGGAAACAACTTCTGTACATAAGGGAAGAGGTGGAAAGGAAGGGAATAGGAATAAAAGATGTACTGTGTACTGTACAAATTCCTTTAGATGAATGTTATGTATATCTAAAGTGTACCAATAAAAAATGCAAAAAGATTAAAATAATGTGCTCAGCTTATTTCTCCTGAGATGAATGAGCTGAGGAAATGAGTGATAACTGTCCCTGCGCTGCCTGGAAAGCACAAGGCTGAGGACCATTGGCTTTAACTTCCCCATTCTGGCTTTACACATACATACACTTACATTTTTAAGCTTTCAGAATGTCTGGAATAAAAGCAGTTATTTTGCAAATTTTTAGTAGGGCAGAGAGTTGGTGCCAGAAGTAGAAATAAGAATAAAGCAAAGTATCCAAAGTGAGAATTCCCACACGCTACTTAACGGGGATTCAGGAAACCAAGCACACCAGAAGGGCCAGTCTGACATGGGCAAACCCCACACTGCCAGTGCGCCTCTGCTATAGTCCAAGCCCTCCACCCTTATAAATACCTTAGTTGTTTTGTTGTGTTTTGTAGAGGCAGAGACTCATTGAATTGCTCAGGCTGGTCCCAAACCCTCTGTTCTCCTGCCTCAGCGACCTGAGTAGCTGGAATTACAGGTGTGCACTGCAGTGCCAGGCTGCATGGTGGCCTTATTCATGGAGCCAACAGTTATGGGCAGGGGAGGGGGATAGGAGAAAACAGAACCAACGCTGTATTACAAATACTGGTTTATTTTTCTTGTGCTTTGCTTTTGTACATGAAGCACTTCTGAATAAATATAAACCTTACTATAAATTTCCTTCTGATTGAATTAAATGAACCACAGTAGCATTTGGGGTGGTTACGTCAGCACAGCCAGAGAACCACCTCATATCAGCAGTCCCTTCACTGGTGGCCAAAGAAGGGCACTTAAAGCCAGTAGGAGAAAGTCGATCTTCGTTCACTTCCCCTCCTCGCTGTGCGTGAACACAGGGATCTGCTGCCCATCTTTGAGCTCCAGGATGACTTCTTGAAGGTTCCACCTGAGAAGAAGCAAGAACGGAGTCTTCTCATCAGTGACATATGGGGCAAAAGGCAAGTCCAAAGGGAAAAGATTAAAAAGCAGTGGGTAGGAACACTGCTTCAAGTTGTTTTTAAACGGTATTTGGCCCAGTGCTGTGACAACAGAATGAGTTCATGTTAGTTAATCAAGGCGGGCCTGGCAATGCCTGGCTGAATGAATGAGCGGCAGCGCAGCAGGGAGGAGGGCGGCATATTTCCCATTTCCTAGCTCACAGCGACTTCAGCTCCTAGCCTGGCATCCCACCAGCTCTCCAGGCCCGGGGTCAGTGAGCCTGTGGTGACTCAGTGGGTGGGGGCAGTGGCTTTTGTCCTTTCTCAGGGAATTCAAACACATCCCTGAGAAACAGCAAACATCCCAGCAAGGCTTCCCATCCCAGAGAGGCCTTGGTGAGTGGACGCAGCCACTGGCAACTAGACAAGAAAAGCCAATGAAAGGGTGGGGGTTCTGCAGAGAATCTGATGAATGACTGGAGCCAGACTCAATGCCTTTATTCATCTGTAATGATGATGGAGGCAGCAGGGGGAGACGCTGGAACACGGCATCACATCTCTGTAGACCTAGGCCACTATAACTGTCAAGTGTTTCAAATCCAGCAGGATGAGAAGACAATTCACGAGCTTGTGTTAGATAAATTGTCTGGACTGAGCTAAAAGCTGAAGCCCTGGCTTGCTGCCCAGCCATGCAGCCTTCTGCTTCAGGCTGTAAAAGCTGATTCTTATTACTGCAGTCATTTAAGACAGATACAAATGGGAAGGGGCGGTTTCTATTGGGATGTCTCCTCTTGTCCCCATCCCCCATTCCTCCATACTTCCCTCATACCTCTGAAAAGGGGCACTTCTGGTTGACCGAGTAAGGAGACAGCCCTCTGCCTTGGGCCCAGAGACAGGAATCTTCAGCTGCAGGGATAAACAGACACAGAGGAGAGATGTCGCCAGACACGCTGTTGTCTGAAAAGATGTCAAAATGTGTTTTCTAGAGCCAAGCGCATTGCATTTAGGGATGAGCCAGTCTGGAGAAGCCACCTGACTTTCCACACAGCCTTCCTGGGAGACCTGGCGAGTGCCATGGCCATCCTTCCTGACAAAGAGACCTTGCAGGCCAAACTCAGCACTTCTAATGGCATGTAGATCCACTCAGCAGGAAGCCACCTGCACAAGCCACACTGCAGGTGAGCATCAAACGAGCCAAGGAAACCAGCATGACAGGGTATAACACCGCTCCCATTAAGGTCTAGATGGAGTGATACTGTGCTGGTAAAAAAAAAAAAAAAAATTGGCAGTGATTGGCTGGGTGGAGCTGGAGATGGGAATGAGGACCTGCAGGAAGGCCTGGTGGTAGGGGACAGGCTGTGCCCATGGGCATTGGTGACAGCTCATGGAGGACACATGGATGTGTGTCCTCCACAGAACATCATTTTACCTCCAAAAGTAGATATTAAACACCAGTTCATGTATATGTGCTAAGAGGTGCAGTGCACAGATATTTGAAGATTAGTTTGTAGTACATCAAAATAAGACTCATTAACAAAGATACAACCCAGTGAAGAGGCATGCATGCTATACGCATGCTCACAGTACAAACTGTCTTTTCTGTTTGAAGCTTTCCATAATAAAACAAGAAAAAAACGAAGCCCAGAAGTGCATTATGAAAAGGGGACACTAGGTGGGATGGGGGTGTGATAGGCCTGTAATCCCAGCACTCTGGGAGGCTGAGGCAGGAGACTGCGGGTTCTAATTTGGCCTGGGTAAATTAGAAACTTAGTGAGACACTATCTCAAAACAAAAAAAAATTTTTTAAAGGTCTGCAGATGTAGCTCAGTGTAGCTCAATCACTAGCACTTCTTTGTTGTTTCTTTGTTTTTGAGACAGGGTCTCACTGTGTAGCTCAGGCTGGCCTCAAATCCACTATAAGGATCACTTGCACTCACAGTGATCCTCCTGCCTCAGCCTTGCAAGTGCTGGGATTACAGGTGTGCCAGCAGACCTACCACTAGTGCCAGTAAGCACACTGAAGAAGTGGGTAACTACCACCAGCGAGTCGGAGCGTATTTTGTTCTGGACCATAACTAATAGGCTTTCCAGGAAAGGAAAAAACAAAAGCAGTAAGATCTCCATATCCACAGGGAAGACATCCCAACTAATAAAGAATCAAGAGTACTTTTAAAAAAGCCTATGCACAGCTGGCTTTTCTTGTCGCTAGCCCTACACAACACCAAGTAATCACTGCTTACAGCACTTACATCGGTATTGACTGGACACTACCGCGACAAGCCATGTTTGTACGTCTCACTGCTGGTGGCTTGAACCACTGGAGGTGCATGCATGACTGTCCCCTTTGGCAGCCTTTTATTACCTTCATTAGTAAAAAGACCAATAAAAGTGGTAAGATCCATCTATATCAACAGAGGATCTGCCCAGTGGGACAGTCCAGTGCGTAAACTGGCTTGGAACTGTTAAAGTCAATGGCAGGATGTGTGTGGTTTACTGCATATGCAACTACAACCAAGCTTTGAGCAAAATAAGTTTGTGAAGGTACCCTAATATGTGCACTTAATTCTGGAGATTTGGAAGTAGGACAACACTGGAGATGAAACCTAGGCACCTTCCTTTTTTTTTTTTTTGAGACAAGGTCTTTCTATGTATTCTAAGCTGCCCTTTAACTCAATGCAGTATGTAGCCCACAATGGCCCCAAACTACAGGCAACCCTCTTGTCTCGACCTCCTGAGTATTGGGATTATAAGCATGAGCCACCATGCCAAGCTTTTGTAGAGAGGGATGAGGGAAGGGAAAAAGGAGGGAAGGAGAGAGCAAGGGAAAGAGGGAGGAGTGGGGAGACAAGGAGAAGGGGGGGGAACAAAAGTGGGAGAGGACGAGCTTTGCTGGGGAAGGCAGACGGGGGAGGGGAGGAAGGTGCAGTAAGGGAGAAGGGAAGGGAGCCGATTGGAACATCTCATTCTTGTTCCCAGGTGCTACCAAGCTCCTGCCCCATCAGTAGCACAGGTGCCCAGCCTAACCACTCTGCCCGGTCCTGCCTGCTGCCTGGCATGCTGCTTCCCCTGCAGGACCTCCAGGGAGGGAAGCAGGCTTGGGAGCAGGTGTGAGGCTCTCAACGCTCAGGTGAGGCCCATGTCTCAGCCACACAATTGCAGGGCCCCTGCCCTGGAATGTCAAACCCTCACCTCCCTCTCAGTCCCCAGGCCTCCTGCATCTCCACACCCCACACATCCAGCATTGACTAAACAGAATCATGTGCTATGCTTCACATTCAAGTGAGTTTTATCAAACCAAACTCTACAAAAAGATACAACCTAGCATTGCAGAATGGGCTGGCATTGTGAAAGCAATGTAAATAAAACTCTGAAAGGAGAGGTGAAGCCGGTTGCATCATTGCACCAGGATGCACACAGACTGGACAGAGGTATATTTTAAATGAGAGCTGAAGTGGTGGCTGAGGCTGCCAGTCACTCACTATGTTCAGCCCAACAAGATGATGACACCCACTGCATTCCCTGCCACATACATTCCCCACAGACAGTTAAGTGAAATAACTCCAGAGAATACAGAGTTTTCGACGTTCTGAAAGGTGCTACACTGTATGACAGGGAACAGCGCGCACCCGGGCGTCGGCGATGTCCACGAGGTGGTCCTTGCTGAGTATGGGCATGCAGTGCACCCGGAGTGGCGAGCCCAGGGCTTCCAGTGCCTCGCGGTGGCCATGCAGCTGCTCCAGCGCCATCTGGTAGTACTCTGCCCTGGTGAGCCCTTCTGGGAGGACACAGCAAGGGGATTAGGGGAGCAAGAGCAACCGGGACTGTGTGCTTCACACTGCCCATCTTCCACACCGGCCTGGCTGGTCTCTCAGCTTCAGTGGCTTCACTTTCGTCACCTCTCTCCCTGCCTCATCTCTCTTTCACTGTGGCTTGCTCAGCTCTTCTCTGAGGCACCTGTCATTTCTGAAATCTGTGATTCTATGACCAGCTCAGGAGCCCAGCGGGCCTAAGACTAGGAGGAGGGAGAGAGCTTGTGACAGCTGACTAAAGAGAGCTGCTTCCACTCTGATGAGGAGCAAAATAAGCCAGGTGTGGTGCCCCATCCCTGTAATCCAAGCACTCTGGAGGCTGAGACAGAGAATCACAAATTTCAGCCCAGCCCAAGCAATTTATTTAGCAAGACCCCCACTTCAAAACAAAAAAAAAAAAAAATAGGCTGAGCATGGTGGTGCACATCTGTAATCCCAGCCCTCTGGAGACTGAGACAGGAGGATCTGCCAGCCTGGTCTACTTAGTGAGTTCCAGGCAGCCAACTATACAGTGACACCTTGTCTCAAAAACAGTAAAACAAAACAAAAGGTTCTGGGAGTGCAGTTCAGTTCCAGGGCCCTGAATTCAATGCCTTGTGTCATCAGGGTGAAAATGAGGCTCAAGACAGCAGACCAGAACATTACCAACAACAGAACTGTCAAGCCAAGGAAGTGTTCATTTGCATTCAGGCAGAACTGCTGTGGTTCCAGGAACCCTTCTTACCCTGAAGGCTCCTGGGACACAGAAAGCACCTCCCTGAGGGCTGAAGGTGTAACAGCAGCTCCACAGGAGAGTGGAGGTAGGCTGGTCCCCAGGAAGGATTGGTTTGGACAAAGGACATGATCAGGTTGCCCAAGGCCTACAATGCCTTTTCACCCCTGTTTTTTGTTTTGTTTTGTTTTGTTTTGTTTTCCTGTTTGGACTACTGACTTCTAAATTCCTAGGAGTCTTAAAAAATACACTTGGGACTAGTCTATAAATTAGGGCTTTTCGTCAAATAGTATGGATTCAGTTTCCCAACCTCCACAGACTTCCACCCTCAAGGAAGCAGCACTACTAACTGGGTTCCACAGCTCTAACCCTCAAATACAGGCTGCTGGTTTGCATTCTGACCTAGGCCACTAAGATGAACGTGACCTACCAGACTATCAAAAAGTCATCCAAAGACCAAAGAGATAGCTCCAGACCCGAACCCATCTCAGTCCTGGAACCCACCCTGCTTTCTTTGACTGGCTTGTTTGTTGTTGAGATAGGGTCTCACTATATAGTTCAGAGTTGAATTCACTCTGTAGCCCAGGCTGGTCATGAACTGGCAGTGATCCTCCTGTGTCAGCCTCCTTCTGTGTCAGCCTCCCAAGTGTAGGATTACACGTGTGTGCCAACACACCCACCCTTGATTATGTTTAATCTACCTGTTCCTCCCTCCAAGGAGTCCTGCAATGTTTTCTGTGATGAGAGTCAAGATCCTACTGTGTGGAGAAGAGGGGAGTTGGGGTCTCCCTTCCTCTCTGAGGGACCTCCTCTGACTCTTCAGTGAATCTGACAATAGGAAAGCACTTCGCTCCTGCAGATCCAGTCATAGTAATGAGGATGGCCTGGACCTGGACAAGAGCTGCAGGTGTGACCAAAGCATCAGGCAGGATGAGACAGGAGGGGGTGGAGGCTGGGTCCAGACAGCTGAGCTTTACTGTGGGATTTCTGTAACAAGGATGGATCCTAGTAGTTCAGGAATCTCACACACCTCAAAATATCTCAACAGCACTTGAGATGTGATCAAAATATCCAATAAATGCTTAAGTTTTTTAAAAATCCATTATGGGGAAAGGCACATTGCCATGAATCCCCTCAAAGTCCTCCCCCCCATGGTGACACTTTCTGAAGCTGCTTCAGAAGTCCTTTTTTATAGGTCTTTACTTGTGCTGTCTTCTCTGCCTTGATGTTCTGACTCACTTCAAATATTTCCCTCTCATGGTCATTCAGACTTTGGTGAAGAGCTGGAAGTTGCCTGTGGGAGATCTAGTGACTAAGGTGCAGGGGGCCACACGGTCATGTCTGTATGAGCCTGCCTTTCCACTCAGTACACAGGGCAGAGCACTCATTGTATTTTTCATCACACCTGATAAAGACACTAACAGTGGTGAATGAAAGCAAGAGACAGGAGAAGGAATATTGTGGGACTGTCCTGCTTCAAGGTTGTATATGGTTACTTTTTTGGACTTATGTGTAAACATAAGAAGTATATAATTCTTTATGCCTATTTTTAAAATATATTCTTATTTTTAAATGTTTGTTATCATATT